GAGAGAGAGAGAGAGCTCTTCCCTTCCACGTCAGCTCACCGTGGATGGAAATGCCAGCTGGACGATCCTCTACGGAGACACAGAGAGAGAGAGAGAGAGAGAGAGAGAGAGAGAGAGAGAGAGAGAGAGAGAGAGAGAGAGAGAGAGAGATACTCCCTTCCACGTCAGCTCATCATGAACTGAGGTGATCGGTCCCTCCTCTTCTGAACGATCCGCTTCTTCGAAAGACACTGGTCCGTCCTTGAAGTGAGCGGTACCTGGCCGCTCGAGAGAACTATGTACTTATTAGTGGGGACCACCATTACTGGGCGACATTGTCCAGCTTCGGTATACCTCTGTCCCCTTCCACTACATATCTCGAGGAAAACAGCACCTACAATGATCTCCTCTGCTTTTATGGGCTCCGCCGAAAACGAAGAACGTCTACTCCCCGACAACCTGGCCAGATGCACCCGCAATAGCTTTTGTCTTTTCACATCTGATGAGTGGTGCGGCCAGGGAGCACAGCGAAAGTTCACCCTGGCTGGGAAAAAAAAACAGCAGCGGAGCAGCCACTGGAGAGCAGGCCTTTTTTTTTTTTTTCACGCGTGCGAATCTGGATGTGTTTTGTGTAGACATGCAGAAAAGTAGATCCATCACGAATTTCTGCAGCGTTCCACAAACACGTCCAAATTCAAATCCGGTCCTCCTTGATGGTGGGACCTCGCCCTCCATCTCATCTGACTGACCGTTCGAATCCGGTCCTCCTTGATGGTGGGACCTCGCCCTCCATCTCATCTGACTGACCGGCTCCAGGGGCGAGGTCACACTAGCAAAGAGGATCGGACGCAACGCCGGAATCTGGACGTGTTTATGGAGACTTTACTGAAAAATGTCCATTGATCTGATTTTTTGCACCTCTGACATAAAGCTGATACCAAAAAAAGGTGTAAATTGCAGTAGACTAATAAGGGGAGGACGGTGGTAGAGTGGTACAGGGTTTCGGAGCGGTTTGCTCCAATCGGTCGAAGTTGGGCCGGTATCAGGCCGTGTTAGGCCTGTATAGTAGTAGATTAAGATCCGGTAGAAGGTGGAGTAAGATGGGGCAAAAGTACTGTCCCCCGGGGCCAGGTCCCACATACGCCGATCCTTGATTTCTGGTCGTTGATCTGCCGAATCTGCGGTCAGAAATTGATCATTCGGCTAAGTGGGACTTGGCCCCCGATGAGGCGTTGGCAGTTACTCAAAGCGAAACTGGGTAATGCTCCCAAAAGTTTTTTCCAGGGATATTGTGAGGACCCGGGCTCATTATTGATGATTGATTTTTTTATTTATTTTTTTTTATTTTTATTTTTTTTTTGGGAAAAAGCAAGGAAATCCATTATAATGAAAACATGAGGCCGGGAATTCCTCACAAACAACCCGGAAATGAAACTTGTTCGGTACTGGGAAATTAAACCACCAGACTTGGGCACTGCGCGCCGCGCCGCGCCGGCCGCCCAAATCTCCAAGCAGTGCGGGCGGTCGATTCGATTTATCGACGGGCCGCCGGCCGCGGAAATCGCGTAGCGTTAACGCTAAGGCGTCACCCAAGTACTGGTGGTTTAAACCCAGTTTCTGATCGTGGGCCTTACCCCAACAACACTTGGTATCTCACCAACATCTTGCCAAATAAGAAACAAATCCTACTGCCCTATCCTACAACAAATAAGCAAGCCAGGTCCTATTCTGAGTACAAACCCTATTCTATTCCTTCTAGCCTATATACTACTACCTCCGTCTAAGTGTCGACGGAGAGGATCACTACGGATCCTTACCCACCGGGGCACTCTCCTTCCCTTTCATTCCCTCTTGCCTCCTACTGCGGATGTAGCAACCGAGTGCCCTGGTTGTTCTAGCTAGTTAGCCAGTTAGAAAACTGCAATCTTTCCCCATTTCCAATTTTTACCAGGTTTTCTCCCAAAGCCCAAGTTTGCATGAACCAGGTTCTGCCCTGGATTTTTGAGTGATTCCTACTTACTCTACGTCTCCAGTCTGCCTCGATGGTGTGGCGTATTGTAGCCTTCAGAGTGTGTTTCATTTCCAGATCTGTCATCTCCTCTCCTTTGAAAACTCTCTTGTTCCTTCCTTGCCATATGACCCAGATCAGGATTGATCGTAAGACTTGTGCAACATAGCCCTACCCTCGTTCTAACGATAGTCCGTCCAGAGCACCTCCCAACAGCACCCACTGTCGGTCCCACTGCAGGCTTGTGATACGCAACCTCACGCCCCCTCGCGATGTCCCGTACTGGGTCGCCGATCAGAGTTCTAGGAGGGGCGTGGCCGAGGATTTTTGGCCGTAGGGGTTGAGTCTCCTGGACGGAACGGGAGGCTCTCGTTTCGTGCCAAAGGTTACCCCGGAGTCGAATTGTCATCGCGAAGTCCCGTGGGGGTCGGATCACTCCGAAACGATAAAATCAGAAGGGTTTCCACAAAAACGAATTGTCGTCATCCATCAGGATGGAAAAAGGCACCAAGGGGAGAGGGCCATGGTGGCGGAAGACAGAAACTCCGACCGTCATGGGCTTGAGGGATAGGTAGTGGGTTCCAAGCCTTCAGGCCTCGTCATCGGCCTCGTGAAGTGACCGGACCGTCGGGTTTTTGCTGTAGAAGTGGTTGGTTCCAGGCCTTCAAGCCTCGGCGTCGGACTCACAAAGTCCGCACGGAAGTTTCCGAGAGAGTGAAACGGCGGGAGGACTCGCCGGCATCCGGATTCGAAATTGCGCGGGCAGCGCCCCCGCATTACGGGAGAGCTCGGGGAAATGTGTCGCTCCCTCATAACCCAGGACCAAGCGTCGCCAAGAACACGAGTCCCCCTGGCGACACCAGCGACAATCAAACTGCGGCCGCCACGCGGCGTGAGCTGCCGACCAGGGCAACACCGTCAAACCCGTATAAGGCAATATTAGAGTCGGGGAATCAAAGCAATCAATCAAGACAAACCCGTTCCCCCCTATATTACACGCCCGGGGCGGGTCTCGCCAACACACTTGCTCCGTCCGTCTCAGCGCGCGCCGTA